GCGGGGCGCCGGCCCTCCTCGGAGCCCGGCTCAGGTCCGGCCCTGTGAGGTCCCCGCCGGGGGTGGGGAGGGGGGGGAGGCTGGGCGGCCAGCAGTCAGGGGGATGCGGACGTGGGCTTCTTAAACGGTGTCAAGCCCCGGGCTCTTTTTACTGCACCGCCCTGCCACTCGGGCAATGAGGCGGAATTTGAGAGCTGGAAAAGAATTCAGCATAGCCCAGCCCCCCTATTTTACAGATGAAGAAATATTCTGGCTTGCTCAAAGTCACATCCAGTCGGTCTAGGAGTCCGTGATTCTGTGTCAGGGAGGCAGGGAGGGATGATTTCCGAAGCAAGAGTAAGACCTGTTTGGCTAGAGATGCAAGTTTGGTTATGCTGGAGTTTTGCTGTTACCCACGGACACCTGCATTCCTGCCACAGGGATTGATGTCCACCAGGTATCAGTTCCTCAAAGCACTTAACCTTGAAGAGGGTGACGGTGCTGTCAGTTGCATAGGGGAATATTGGGGTTACAAACTGGCCAGGTCTGCTGCAGATGAGGCGCTGTGGAGAATGCTTGGGGTGTAGAGTTAATTTTTAAATGCAAAAACCCCCCACTTTAAATGCAGTCTCATTATCCTTTATTGTCTGTTTCATTTATGCAGCAATGAAGGGCTCTCGCACTGTTGTTCTGTTATATTGGTAACTTGCCTATTTTACAGTAATGTACACATCTTGTGTTGAAAGACTTTCTTTTCCTAATTAGTGATGCTGTGATATGTGGCTTAATGGTTAGGGCTTGGGCATAGTCTAGCTCCGATTGTTTGCATAGCTGAGTTCCAGGGGGAGAGTGGGACTGATTAATCCCTGGTTGTATTTGGCAGACTGAAGTACCTGGCAGCATACAGGTGTGCTTTCTTAGTGTTGCATTTATTACCCTAGCAACAGGAATAGACTCCAGGTGATGAGCAAGTTTATTCCTCAGCACCTGCTTTTCTCTAAATTATTGAATTAAAGGATCTCTAGCCCCCTTTGAACTCTTTCAAATGTTAATTTGAAACATATGTCACTCATTGTGACAAAAAGTTTTAATAGAACAAGTCATATCATCAGCGTTGGCCTAAGTGAAAAGTGATTTTTCAAATTACGTCAGTGTTAAATTCACTTAAATTCAGAGATTGGGATGGAGTGCTTTGTGAGGATAGCTAAAATCTGACCTAGGAATGGGGTGTGTGGGGTGTACAGATAACCTTTGCAATAAGCTGAGAACATTCTGCCTCAGGAAATGTGATAAGATGTCTTTTATATACTCATATTGTGTGTATATTCGGCTGAGATATAATAATCTTTATAGACAGTCTGTCCAAATATGTGCAAGTTATTTATTTTGTCTTGTGGCCCCAAAGCAGAGCCTTTACCCACTTCTTGTTTTTTTTTCTGGCTCTTTCGGAGTGGCCCTCTTTCCTGCAAAGACCCTTTCCCGTTCCTCTTTCAGCCACAGTGCAATTCAGAGCCTCCTGCAAGCTACTTTTTCTCCCCCTGAAGAATATGACAAATCATAATTCTTCAGTCACTGTTCACGATCTCCTAAAAACTAAGGGTGGGTGTTCATTTTTAGAACACAGTGTGACTCCATGAAGCTCTGGTTCTGAAAAAGGGTTAAGTGGACTGTGCTTAGATTTTTGTCTTTCATGTACTTGGAGGCTGCAATATAGGAAGGCTCCAGAGCCAGCAAACTCACTTATCTCTGCCTCAGAAGGAAATCCTTCCTGCAGGATGCCTAGGGAATCTTCAAGTGTGTTATTGTTCTCAACCCTCCCACTTTACAGTGTTGGGCTAAAATAAGCAAAAAGCTGTTTTTCACATTTCAGATACTTCAGTGATTTTTGAAATTACAGATACTTTTTATATTGGAATTTTTTCAAATTATAAAAGCAACTACAATAGAATGCAAATGGAGACTTGCCTACTATTGCCAGGTATAAGGCTTGAATCATTTTCTAGGTTTATTATTGTTTCTAAAGTCAGTGTATTACCTACAGCATAGCATTGTTAAAGGGTTATCTGCTCTGAATTTCTCAACTGTGCTTGGGTTTTAGCTAAAGCATCCTGAAAATTCAGAGTTACGTTTGAAAAGTTTCACAACAACAATCCAATTAATATTAAATAGTTTCTTATGCTCAGTTTAGGAAAACGCCTGGATAAACGAATTTTCAAGATTGGATAACATAGTCTTGTGGGTCAGGTGTTAATTCTGAGATACTAGGGGCATCTGGCTGGCTCAGTCGGTTGAGCGTGCGACTCTTGATCTCAGGATTGTGAGTTCAAGCCCCACGTTGGGCGTAGCGCTTACTTAAAAAAAATTACTATCAGCCTCTCGTCTAGAAAGGCCGAAACCTAAAGTAATAGCCATAAAATCAGATCACAGAACAGCTCTATGATGAAGGAGCCCTTAAACAAACCAAAATTGTTAACTTTTGGTTGGGTGCTTTATCCTTGTTGCTCTAAAAGTCAGCCAGAGGAGATAAAATAAACACAGAGTAGCTAAAATGTATTCTTTTATTTTTAGATGTTAGGGTTTACCCAGGAAGGGAGGCAGCACTGCAGAGCAAATAGGGCATTGTGCTAGGGGGCTGAAGTCTGCAGTTCTGATTTGTTCATTCACCACATAGTCATTAAGCACCTGTGTCTACCAGGCACTATTCTGGGGGCTGGGGATACAGCTGTGAATGAAACAGACAAAGCCCCACTGCGGGGCCATAGCATTGTAGTGGGCTAGAGGCAGACAAATGAAACTGTGAATGGATTGACTGTCCCATGCTCATCGAGCTATGGAGAACTTTAAAGAGGTGTAAGTGGGAAAGGGTGAGTATGTGTGTGGGGGTTGGGGGGTGGGCAGGATTGACTTTATTATACGAAGTGGTCAGAGAAGGCCTCTGCTAAGATCACTTTTGAGCTAGGCCTGGAAGGAATTGAGACCGTGAGGGTGGGGGGACAGAGGGATGAGCAAGTTCCAGGCCCGGGTGCTGAGCCTGTTTGGCATGTGTGAGGGCTGGCGAGGTCCTAGCGGCCAGGCAGTGCCAAGGAGGGCGAGGGCGAGGTGGCAGCAGGGGGGAGGCGGTGGGAGTGGGAAGGGGCGCATCAGTGTAGGCCATTGTAAGGACTTTGACCTTTACTCTGAGTGAGGGGGAAGAAGACATTAGAGGGTTGTGAACCGAGTTGCTCATGATGACTTAAGTTTGACAGGGTCACTCTGGCTGCTGGGCACAGAGTCAGGAAGACCTTCCCTTTCATCCTAGCGGTGTGACCCTAAGCCGTAACTCTTCTTGGGGCCTTAGTTTCCTCATCTGTAGGATGACCAGGTCCCTTGGAGCTCTAGAATTTTAAGATTCTAAGTAGCTTGGAATATTTCTACGGGGAGGCCAGGGGATTGCATACGAAGAGGTTCTAAAAGTAAACAGCTTCAGATGACCTGAAAACTTGACTCGGACACGCCTTTAGCTGAATCACTCCAAATCAAGAGGTAGTCAGGTCTTTTCAGTCAGGTTGTCAGGTCATGGGAACAAAAACACTGTTTCGTGAATATTCTCTGCTGATCCCTTTAGTACTCTGCTGATCCCTGAATTTTCTCTTCCTGCTTGAAAAAGGATGAAGAGCTGTTACTCATCAACAGAGCTGGCAACCAAAGTAGCTTTTGTT